TCATAACGCACTGGATAGCTGGCCAATCACAGCACACCTCGCTTTTCAGACCGATGAGCTTTGTAAAAATCGACGCATTTCAGAAAGGCGGGGCAAAGAAGAGAAACAATAATGTACAGTATGTGGGAAAATAATGTGTTTTTTTTTTTTTTAACCTTAAACCGCATAAACACATTTCATTACACCAAATACACAAAATAATGTTATTTTTAGCAACCTCATATGACCCCTTTAAAACACACAGAGTCCTACTTGCTAACCGGTTGCTGAACAAGTTGCTAAATGAGGACTACAACTACCACAAGACACTGATTTATTCATGGATATCAAGTCGCCAAAGCGTTTAGGCGCAATGTTAGGAGAACAAGACTCTGGGAAATTTCCTTTCAGAGACTCACTTAATCTTTCACTGCTTTCAAAGTTCATGGACCTTGGCATTTAATCGAGTTTAAACCAAACGCCTCAGAACCTGTTGCCTAGAGACCGCAGTGCCATTCCTGCATTTGTGGCGCCACATGCATCGCTTGAGTATTTGAACTTGGTAAATGATGTCATGTTTTGGCGGGACCAACGTTCTGAACTCAAATACGTCAAGTGTAAGATTTTGAAAATGTGAATATCCAATAAACTATATCTTTAAACTTCTTAAAAGGAGTTGTCTTGCAAATTAAAAAGTAGTTTATTTCCATTCTGAGCAATAATTCATTTAGACGTTTTAAAATTAAAATAAAATAAAAAAATCTCTGTTTGACTTGATGGAATGTTCAATATTAAAAATCTAACTGACAGTGATGTCATTGCAATATTTGCATACTGCATTGCTATTGGTCTTATTTCTTGCATTCATTTGCATTCTCAATTCGTCATCTCCAGCTGCCTTTATACACTGGAAAGATGCGCAACTACATACGCAAAACTACATCTTTTCAAAATCGACTAGTTGTTCGCACAATAAAATATGCTGTTTTGCACACCCCACGAATAATTTAAGGAAGCCCAGTACGATTTGGCTGGTTTCGGTTCACTTGAGCCTGATTGCATTTTGTAGGAAACGTTTGATGGCAAAGGATTAGCATGAATTTACAGACCCAACCGAAAGGGTTAAAATCTTCCCAGTGCTTCAAATATAAACTTCCAGCGTATCTAATGATCTAATGAGGAAATGCTGCAGCCATAACGATATGAGTCTCAAATTTGATTTGGCCCATAAGCGCTGTAATTGAAATGCAAACAGCTGCGTCTGTGTGGCTGGTGCCTGAGGGAGGTCAAGAGACTCTCTCCATTATACTGTTGTCATGCCGCCTTTATGAGTGGAGTGCGACTGAATGCCAGCGGTGCTGTAATGTATTATTCATGTCGAATTCCTCAGTTTGTGTGCGTCTCTGCGTGCGAGTGTGTGTTTGGGAGAGAAAAGAGGCTGAAGCTCAAGTAGTGTTTGCGTTTGTGAGGTCTTATGCTCCACTAACGACTGTGTGAAAAGCAGAGAGGTTCGGGTGGCCACAGTGCTCAACCCTGAATTAAAACCACCCTCCTCCTCCATTGGGCTGGTTTCCGGGGGCAACAACAGGGGCATCTCTGTCCCCCGTCGTCCCGCTGTATGGCTGAATGGCTCTGCGGAACAGCATGATTAAATACTGCACACTTTGGGCAGACTAACTAACCCGATGTCCTTTCCGAACATCTTATTGTCTAGGTTTTCTCTGTGTGTCCTCAGGCGGTGCATATATTTGCTTTGTGATTTGTGTGTAAAGGAGGAAGTTTTTCGAATGAAGTGTGCTGGCAGGTTGGCAGACACCTTTATTCTTTACTTGCAGTAGCAATCAGACCGGGTTTTCTTGATTTTATTTTTTTTTTTTTTGTTCAATTAGGCCGGCGGAGGCGGCATTCGCAAAAAGGTTCAAGGGCGCTCTTTCTTGACAATAGTGAGGGAGGGATTGTGGGATGGATGTTAGCTTGTTCTACAAGCCAAAATATGTCGCACTGTTGACTTTTGTGCTTCATTCTTTCGGTGCAGAGAATGAGGTGCTGGAGGACGCTAAACAAGGCCACTATAAGGAGCATCTGTATGATAGCAGACACCTCAAGAACTCACACTCCAGACGCAAGAGAAGCATTGGTAGAAGAAACCCACATACAATTATTCACATACACTTTGCAAAGCCCCAGTGATTCTTCTGTGTGTTTATGGGTTTGTTGTATGTTTAGAGGAAGCAGTGCCCGCTGTCTGTAAGACTCGCACAGTGATCTACGAGATCCCACGCAGTCAGGTCGATCCCACGGCCGCCAACTTCCTGATCTGGCCTCCGTGTGTGGAGGTGAGACGATGCTCAGGCTGCTGCAACACCAGCAACATGCGCTGCCACCCATCCAAAAAGCACCACAGGACCGTGAAGGTGAGAATATGTTGTGTATTATATTTTGTATATATAATGTTTCTAAATTATGTTTTAAATATTGACGTTACTATTAATTATAATTACTTTAAATAATCTTAGTAATTGTCATTTTTAAATATATTTGAAATATATAATAAATATATATTAAATATTTTAAAATACATACATGGCATTTATATATCATTAATATAAAATATTATTATTAAAATATTATTATATGATATAAATATAATTATATTTAAAATATAAACATGATAATTACTAAAGAAAATACAGATGTTTATAATTTCTATTTTAAATATTAGTTATTAATTATTATTATTTTAAATATTATAAATAATATTTAAATATTATAATATTATATAAATAAAGTTTAATATTTATATTGTTTTTAT